CGTCGTCGAGTTCGGACGCGTTGAGGCGGAAGTGTTTTGTTTCGACCATGGACTGGTCGACCTCGAGGTGCCAACGCTCGCGGGCAGTGAAGCGGTCGCTGGCATAGAGGTGTCCATCGACGGTCGCCAAGAGGACAAAGTCTTCTACTTCCCAGTCCTTCAGACTCCGCGCATGGTGCTGCGTAGAGATCCCGTTGGCCCCGGCAACACGGGACACAATGGGTCGATGTCCAGAAGGAGATGGTGCTCTCACGGACTGAGCCGGAGCCAAAGTTGCGACGGCGCTCGCATCGTTAGGAATGATTATAGATTCGGGGGTGTTCCGACGGTTGTTGATTTGTTCTTTGGAAGACGTGACGGTCTTCTTGCGTCGTTGAGACACGGCAGCATTGTCGGCCTCAAGAGTGGCAGCCCAGTTGCGGGCTGCTTCGGGGTTTATGTCGTGTATGCCCTCATGTTGGCTGCTCCCGGGGGCAGGCTGTTGGACTCGAGGGATAGCGTCGATGGGTTGTTGTTGGGCATCGGCGAGGGGGATGCAGGAGATGACGAGAACTGCTAGAGCAAGCAGGTAGGTCCGCTGGTTGGCGCCGCGCCTCCCTTCACGAGGCGGGCGTCGCAGCATGGTCGATTTGTCGTGATGCGGGAGGGATTTACATCAACGCTTCCCAGTCGTTGTCGAGATGCAGGCGAGACATAGGAGCAGTGGTATAGGCGGTGGGAGCGGTGGTTGTGGTGGTCGTGGAGGTGACGCTGGCGATGATGGTTCGAGGGCAGCGGAGGCCGTGGACCATGTGAAGGTGGGTTGGTTGGGCTAGCGAACTAAATCGGGCCCAGGCACAGGTACGGCGAATACAGACAGCAGACGCAGATGGGCCGCTGTGGGGTGGGATATGTATTCGGATGGATCAAAAGATGATGCTGGCGATGGAAGAAATGCACCTTGAAGTGTTCGGAGAGGGGAGGTTGAAGGTTGCAGAAGAGAGTGCGGGAGGGCGGGAAGGACCTGAGTCTGAGTCTGGGTGGAAGTGGTGGTTTCCTCGGAAAGAGGGAGGGTTTGAATGCTACTTGCTGGGTTACTGCCTCTTCTTTTTTTTTTGCGCCGGGCCTTGTCAGCTCTGTGGTTTTTTCGCCTTTTTTTGGCTGAAGCACAAGCCGCCCACGCCCACAGTCAGTTCACTGTTCAGCAGTCAGTCAGCCAGCCCCAAGCTGGATGGTATGTAAGGTAGGTACTTGGGTAAGGTACCTACCTCAGCACGCACTGAGTGAGCCCAGCAGAGCAGGTGAGGTGCCACAGGGTGGTTGCTGTCGACCGGGTGGTTTCTTGGTTGTTGTGGGCAAGTAGCTTTTGGCGGTGAAAAAGGCGGAAAGATACCTTGGTGGCACCCCAATAAGCGACTGGACTGGACGGCACGGCTGGGTCTGCAGCTGGGCAGCTGCCGCTGCTGGAGGCGTGGCTTTGCTCTGGCGTGTGCCGTGTGGTGGAAGGCAAGGGAAGCAGTTAGCACCGGCGGGACTCGTACCACACCACGGTCCACGGCTGCACGGGCTGACGGGGATCAGGTCTGGAAGGGGGGGCCGAAGGGAACTGTGGGCACCTCAGGGGAAGAGGAAACACACTGGAAGGCGCAGGGGCCTGACCGTACAGTACGTAGACTGTTCGTTACGGTGCATTCACGTACAGTTTGTTTTACGGAGTGACACCGTCTAGCCCCACCATTCCCGTCAAGCGAACCCCACCCGCTGTCGGCCAGCCAGCCAGTCAGAGGGAGGCGTTGCTCCCCCAGTTTCGAAAGGGAGGAGACACTACACTACGGATAGGTACCTACGGCCACAGGCACAGGACACCCACCGGACAGCCGATCGCATTCTGGGACGCCCCTTGGGATCCTCAAACTGTGGCAAACTAAAATCGCGGGGTTTTTTTTGCCCATCACTCTCCCTCCAGCTGCTGCTATTGCTGCTGCTGACTGACCCCAAAACCAAAAAAAAGTCCACCACTTGAACACTGGGGATGGGGTGATGTGCGGGTATGAAGACGTCAATCATGATATCGGTCATCATGCACACACATTCAACGACATCAACAGACTCGACAACACCTCGCGACCAACCAAACACACACTCACATATGAAGAAAGGTCAACAAGTTCAAATTTCCAGATTCAGGGTCTTGTTAGGGCTCCGGCTCCCGAACCCTGAAAGCCAGCCCCCCCTACCTATCCTTCTCTGGGCTTGGCTGGAATGTCCCAGACCACTGGCTGAGCAGAGACTGCGAGTTACCTAGCGGCTGGTGTCGCAAGGTTCAGTGTTCCAGGGCCAGAGAATGTTCAACGCGTTCGACTCCCTCGTCCCTCTCTCTCTCAGAGGTGCTATCCGCTACCTTACTTTGTCAGTCAAGAATGATCCACACGACGGCAAACATGATCCATCCTGGAATTCAGTCCGAACTGGCCTCCCCGACCCCGAGACTGGCAGTCTGAGTTCAACCTGTAGCTGTCTGGGTTGAGTGAGCAAGTGGGTTCTTCATCCACACGCGTGTGGACGCTAGCCCGGCAAATCGGAGGCCATCCACAACCTGGGCAGCTGCATCATCTTCTGTCTGCTCTCCAGCGTCTACAGAGTACTCGGCTCGGCATCATCGATCCTGCAGCGGATCTTTGGCCAACTCTGTCAGTGCCAACGCCCATCCCGACAATCCCTCGCCCTCGTCAACCACATCGCTGATCGAGCCGCGATTGCGTCAACTGCGTGAGATGATCAGACACTGTGGCCTCAGCTAGGAAGATGACGGACTCTGTCGCCTAGTCCCTAGTCCCTAGATTGGTCGTCATGTCGGCTGTTCCTGCAGCTCGTTCGTCACTGGTCCGCGACATTAGCCTAACCCGCAGCCGCCAGGTTGAACTCGACGGACGGCATCAAGATGGAGGGGGGGGGCGGCAGCGGGAAGCCGCCTATCATACTGTGTCATCCGCCTTAGTCATCTACCCCGAGCTCGATTTCGAGTTCACCAGCTCTCGCCACCCCCTGATACCTGTTTGCCTGTACGGGCTATGTATCCGTACATCACCTCACATCACATTCACGTCCCAGCCTTTCCTCGGCTTCCATCTCCAAAGACACTCAGACTCAGACCCAGACTCGCCTTACGAGTACGGATACAGCGCCTCACTCAGGCACGCAATCACGCAAGACACGGCATCACAACTGAACCCCGGCCAAACCAAACCTTTCTTCTAGCGTTTGATCTCAAGCAAGGTACCGTTCAACGGGTGCAAGCACAACATTCGATCCACTGTCCGAGTCTCCCAATCTTCCCTTTCTTCTGGAACCTGACAAGTGACAAGACGAGACATCCCAGACATGACGCATTGCCTTCTCCCTACTTCCAAGTGGTGCAATGCTACCACAACTCTTCTTGGCTTCTTCCCGTCGTCCTCTTTCACGCATTCGGACGGTAACGGATATTCATTCCCTCCCTCTCGTCCGCTCGTCTGATATCCCTTACATCCCACCCCGTCGCGCAACCTTTTTTTGGACTTTATCAACAACAACAGCAAAGCCATGTTGCGGTAGCCATAGTGTGTGTACTTCGGACCGCTCCCCCTCAGATTGACTGCGAGATCGTCGCACGATGCCCAAACTCTCCTGTCCCCGTCAACAAAAGTCTGTGTGTTCCGCAAGCCGCCTCCCACCCGGAACCTTCCAGCAAACTTTCCCACGCCTGTTCGTCTGCGCCCGCGGCCACACGCAAACCACAGACGACGCAGACGCGGTGCAAGTGCAAACCCTCTCGCGCGTGACTCGGTAGACTTTGACTCCTGCAGCCTCCAATGTATCATGCAGATGCACCGGTCGACGACACGCCTCATTTAATCAGAATATCTGCTCTCGCTCGCCGCCATCTCGCAACGCTCTTGCCTGTGGCTTGACGCTTTGCATCATCACCCACAAAGAGGTAATGTGAGCTTGTACGACCACTTCGAGTTGAAGCACGCAATGGGGTACGCGGCAATACCAGCCCACTTCAATCAACCCTCGTCTGCCGTTCTCCGCCGTTGGGCCCGAGAGCGAGGTCGCCGGAACAACCTGGTCCACCAAACGCCAGCGGGGCAACAGTGTGTGATTGATTCACCATCTCCCTCACCAGAAAAGACTGTGATCCATCTCAGGTTCAGGGCCATCTTCCGACCCGGCCCCCCAGCCCCCCCATGTCGCCAGGACCGGGATCGATACGACGTTATTTCAGACCTCTCTCGTCGCGGTGCCCGCAGCCCGCGCGCACGTGAAGTGATTTCCGCCGAGCAAGTCCCCGTAGCTCCGGCCCGCTCGAATATCAAAAATTCATTGCGCGATGGGTCCCCGTTGGAAGGTATCTTGCTCGCAATAAATGAGAGCTTTCCGGTTACAGAGAATGCCCCCGAATGCCGCAGCGCGCCATCGTGGAAATATTGACACTGAGAAAGCTCCAACGGCGGCGGTTTTGCTCCGCCCTCGAACATTACGGCTGATGGCTTGCATGCAGCCATGCATGCCTCAACCTCCAGCAAGCGCCACAGACATCGTTAGAGCATATTGCTCTTGTTCGTCACAAGCTTCGATTCACAATTGCCGCCCCCTTGATCGGCAACCATATTCGTTCGGATGAGCTTTTGAGGGCTGAATCGCTTAAATTGCGGTTGGAATGTTCAAGTGCAAGTCACCGGGTGCACCAAAAAGCCTCGGACCGTGTCAGGGTAGATGATTTTTATGTTCTTCTATCTCTAAAGGTGAAATGTCTATCGGGCGTGCCAAGAGAAAAGTTCTCGGCCCCCATCAAGTCTAACTAAATATTACTGATTAGATCCGCCCGCCTATGTACAGGGCAAATATTCGGCCCCTGGCGTAGTCGGCAATGTCAATATAGACAATCGAACGATCGTTTTGGTTTTTGTACAAAGGAAAACTCCAAGCAACACTCCCAACACTCGATCAGACCCCTCGTCACCAGTTGCGTTCTGCGCTTAGCAAGTCTTGCCAATGTTGACAGAGTTGGCAAAGAGGCAGTAGGTGTCGGCGTGGTTGTAGTTCTGCGCGGCAGTGAGCGCCTTGATGCCGGTGTAGCCATAGACGCCCCAGTCAAGAGTGCCCTTGATGAAGGTCAGGTGAGTCATCTCGTGAAGAGTAGTGGTAGACTGGCGAGGCTGTTAGTGACATGGCTTCAGAGCGCGTGTGTAGTAGAGAGGCACATACCTGATCCTGAGCGTGGCAGGTGGAAGTGAGCGAGGGCAGAGCGCTGAAGTACAGAGGGCAGTTGACCATGTAGTTCTGCGAGGGGAGGGTGTAGGCCAGGACGCCGGGTCTGCAAGAGCTGTAGACGTCGGTGCAGTAGAGCTTGGAGACGGGGTTGGCGACGGCAAGCGCGGTGCCCTTGTTAGCCGCGAGGCGCGAGCCGCACTCGTTGGAGACCTTGCTGAAGGCAATGCTGATGTTGCGTCTGGTGGCTTGGTCGGTGGTCTTGAAGAACTCCATCGTCTTCTTGTCGTCGAGCATCACGGCGCGGGCGGCGTCCTTGGCGAGGTTGGTGCAGTGAGTGAGGGCGTTGTTGACGGCAGTGCTCTGGGCGGCGGTGCAGCCGGGCTGGACGGCGACGCGCTTGGCCTCGGCGTGGAAGTCGCGGCGGGTGATGGCGGCCTGGGTGCCGTTGACGTCCTTGATGTGGAGCGTGTTGGACTTGAAGGGCACCCAGGTGGTGAGGTTGGTGGAGTCGCCCGTTGTGCACCGCATGCCGCCCTTGGCGGTGACGTTGAAGTCACCGCCCGAGCTCAGATCGTGCAACTCGGCGATATCGATGGTGCGGTCGACAGTTTGCTGGGGCTCAATAACCATGTAGGACTCGTTGGTGATCATGCTGGGAGGCGCGATGCGGAGGCGGACACCCTCGAAAGGAACTCGCTCGCCTGTTTATGTCTTAGTCTCAGATCATGTGTGGCATGAGAGAGGAAACTCACCGTTGGCGGAGACGACCACCTTTTCAACCGGTGCGTCGTCCAGGATACTTCCGGGGACAAAGCACCTCAACGTCTCGTTGCCAGTGTTGGTGATACTCAGTTGGGCGGTGGTGGTATCGGGCTCGTGGGTAAGGTTGGTCGTGATGGTTGATGAGGTGGTGTTGTTCTGGTTGTTGATTGGGCCGGCGGCGACCAGAGCACCGAAGAGGGCAAGAGCGGCGAAGGACTTCATCTTGACTGTTGAAATCGGCGGTTGTTGAGGCGTCGAGAGTCGAAGAGTTGAGAGTGTTGTTGGAGTTGAGTGTGATGATCCAAAAAAGAAGTTGTCGAGAGGCTGGAATGCATCTTGTTCTTATATCGAATTGATCCAACGCATCTTCGCACTTCAGATACTACAGCTGAGCGTGAGGAACTGCCGCTCAATGCGGACGACAAAGATGGAGCACATCGGGACTCAAGCCACCAGAAACTGGTCAAGGGACTCGGCATGGAGGCTCAAGTGAGTGCTCAAGCGGCTAGACAGAGAAGGCGTCGGGAAAAGGCGCTCTGGCCAGCCCGGCAGCCGGAGACGAGTACGTGGAGACGGAAGGCGTCTGCCATGGGCGAGCTAGAACTCGACATGGGGTGTAAACTGAGATCTACAGGGGACTGGAAGGAAGATCCCGTTGGTGGTGTGTAGTGTACTTGGGAAGTAGGGAAGAGAGCGACGCAAACCGTCGTAGAGGATACCGTAAACGATGGAACAGGGTCCAAAAGTCGGCAAAGGCGCCCACCAGCTCTGGCTTTCAAGCCAAAAGACTACGGTTCCAGCGGAAGGGAAAGACAGCACAGGTAAGCCACAAACAACAGATGCGGATGCTTCATTGAGAAGGCCAACGCCTCTCAGAAAAGCCACTAGACCCAGATTCTGCTTGGCCTCTGTCTTCAGCGGCCGTCGCAGACAATGCGCGTGGAGAGCGATGATCATGTCAACGGACAGTGTTGTCCCTGAAGATCACAGGCATTCGTACCTGGCTGGTGGGTGCGGTCCATGAGAGAGCCACGAGCTTCAGAAACTGCCGTCCTCCGCAAGAGAGGAAGATCTGCAGAGCCAGTTGCTCCGCCGAACAGCCGCCGTAGGCCCCGTCGGGGGTCCCTCAAGGACCCACTCTGACCGCATGCGGTATCCGAACATACAGGCCATAAAGAAACGGGCCCCAGAGGCGCGGGGCCTGGTAGCCCCTTCCGCTACGCCAATACCACCAAGCCCTGCCGCGAAGTCTCAAGAACAAGGGCTGTCTATGAGACAGGCGTAGGGGTGAGTTTGTTCTGGGCGGGCGCGAGACATGGTTCTGTACACGGCGACAATGAACGGCCACGCATTATTGAAACATGTCGCCTGGAACGGAGCACTCGAACAGTCCTTTCTCTCGGGGTTCCAGGATACCGGTTTTCGGGAGTGACGACTTTCGTCTGCAATTTGGTCTAGCTGCCTCACTGGCTTGGCAAACTCATACGATATTTTTTATCGGTACCATTTGGTAAGACACGGAACGTGTCTTGGCCCTCCTCCGATGAGGCCCGGCAGGATACCGGAGCTATGTGGGTCTGGTCCGGCGCCGAGGCTCCGGGCCAGAAATCCACCAGTCACGATCGCGGACGGCCACTACCTTAGGCGACCTTCCTCTTTGGTGCACGCGCCGCGCTGGTGTTTATGCAGGACCAGCGGGCCATCGAAGCACCTGGGATGGTGGCTGCATTCTAGCGCCGTATCGGGTCTGCAGCCCGGGCCGTCTGCTCGATTGCAACTTCTTCAATAAGCATACAGCAAGCAGCCTGACGGCATTGGATGCATGTACGCTCATCCGGCGCTGCAGAGTGCGGGGTTTCCCGTCGACACGCAATCCGAGTCAAGCGGCGGCAGAGCAGCAGATGCCGAAGTTGTTTGATATCCAACTTGTGATCGTTTCCCACGCGCCAACGTAGCGCACATCGGTCGACATCTCCAACTCCGTACGTACGACGCGCCACTTACAACTCCATCAAATCACAAACATCGTCTCGTTTCCCAAGCATCCCAGCAGTTTGGATCGAACCCGTCGCAATCGTGGGCTAGCATCGCGTGGCTCAGTCCGCGCAGCATTCCACAACCACGGCCGCCTGCTTCTTCCAGGTTAGTGCGCCCGGCCTGCTTCGCCGGTTCGTTTCTGCCCACCACGTTGGATATCCTGACGGCAAACCGATATTGCCCAGCCGTACAAAGACCGCATTCAATCGCTTGACGTCATCCGGCATCTTCCAGCACGCTTGCCGTCTTGGGCAGCCGTTCCGTCTAGCACCTTCTGCCTGGCTGTCTTCCTCCGACCCGCCAATAGGTATCTGCAGGCGTGGTCTACCGCATCATCGTGAACCACCCAACCCCTCGGCCAGAACACTCAACCCTCACCTTCTCAGCTTCAACAACCTGCCCCTCATCGCCTACCAAGCTCAATGAGCATCATCTCATCTGCTCGCGCCCTCTTCCGTCCCATAGTCTTCATTCTGATCGTTCTCTTCCTCGTCCTCACCTACAACCACGGATCCTCCCGAGACACACAATCCAACATGTCCGAGGAAACCAAGAACAACGCGCTATCCAAGCTCAGCATCCGCATTCGTCAATCCTCAACCTCCCCTCCCACGGTCACCTTCTCTGTTACCAACGACCACAACGCACCCCTCACGATCCTGCGCTGGGCCACGCCCCTGGACCCCCTAGCCCTCCAGCTCGGAGTCCTTTCCGTCACACCGGAAGGCGCAGACGCCCCGCTCGAAATCGACACCATCGCGCTGAAGCGGATCATGCCACCCCGCGACGAGGACATGGTCACCCTCCAACCGGGCGACACCACGGAGAACGAAGTAATCCTGCGCGAAACCGTGCTGCTGTTTGACAGGCTCGGCAAGACGCCGCGGGTGGCGGCCAAGGGGACGTGGCAGACTGTGTGGCCCACGACGGCGGATAAGCTTAGCAAGGATACTCTCATGAAGCTACAGTTCGGTGATGGCGTTCTCTCGGGCGACTTTGAGACGGAAGCTATCGAGGTTACCGTTGCGTAATTAGACAACTTTTTACTGAATCAATATGGCATACTACCTATGACACCTACATATCCCAGCAACCCGGTATGCACGGCTGTGTAACCACACTCACGAGATGTCCCTGAAGATCCCCCTTTCGACACAGACGTTCGTTGCATGTGTGGTTTGCGTCAAAAACGTGGTTTCGGCATGGTTGACCCAAAGCAGAAAATGACGTAGGCTTCGGTCTGGACGAGTCTCTTTGGAAAAGGCAGAGACATTCGGGGACTCATTCACTGAGACGTCTTTGACTGAGAACTCTTGACAAAGCCCAGTCTAACCCGTCCAAGACGAACTCGCACCCCTCTTTGTTGACGCACCCCATAATGTCCCCCGGCACAACCATCCACGTAATCATCAACCAAGATTGTATTCAACAGCTCTAGTGTATTGTTCTCAAGATCTGGAGGCCGAGAGCCGAAGCCGAGTCCAACCTCGTTCTGCTCGGCAGGTAGGCTAACCCACGACCTTGACAGAGCTAAACCAAATCATGGCATAACACGCGCCTCAAGATCTCTGAGCCGAGCCATAACTACCGACAATCTGGGACCAACCCAAGCGCCCGGAAGCACACCATCTTTCCGGACTGAAAGCACCACGGGCACACTAGACGGCCCTTAGCACCGGGGCCCAAGACCTGGGTCCCTCGACGTGCGTCGCAACTTGCCACCACGCCGACGGCACGCTTTCACTCTTTCTCTCGAAACTTGCACAAAACGAGGATCGCCCACATACACGTGGAGCCTCTTCGTCCTCCAAAGGCGAGCCGATCGAGGGTCCGGTCATCTCGCGTGGACTACCTTAGTTGCGCATGAGATTTCCAGTGGGACTGGCAGACGAAACTCCTGCATGCGGAAGTCGATATCCCATGGTTCTTTGCAACAAACCGCATGGCATTCTTTCAAGTCCTCCGAGAACCTGACTCTCTCGTTCAAAGACCCATATGGAACGTCGGCATCTCAACCGTAGCTTCTTCCCTCGCAAGTAAAGCGCATCCTTCAGAAAATTCACCAACACCTCAAATACCATGCGTTTTTTACAACTGGTACTTCCGCATTCGTCGATATTCTCTGGAAGTTGCCGCGCGATCCCATGTGCTACTAGGCCTTGGCAAAAAGACCCTCCAGATCGTTACGACTTGACGAACGACTTGACGACTCTGCTCCTCTCGGGCCTTTTCGCAACTGCCGTGATGGAAAAGCCCTCCGACCAACGGGCCACGTCCGCCGCTAGAGGTGATATCACATTACTATTCAAACCTTGCCCTGCCGTCCGGAGACCACTCCGCTTAGCCCGGCAACCTTCTCGCGAGACCCATGGCCTAGAAAATTCTTCTCTCTGCACTGAGACTGGTCTACTTCGTTGTTGAAATCACACGACACACTGCAATGTTTTCGATGTTGTCTCTGTCGAACGAAGGATGTTTGTCTCGGGTAGCCAGAGATCTGGGCAAAACCTTACAGGCCTCCTAGACTTCTGTTCCAAATACTGGCATACGGCCGCGGTAGTCGACGACATGGATGCGAGTGTCGACGCGCGTTGTGGGCTACTTCGGCCGGAAGACCCTATCGACTTCGATGGTCAGGAGTTTGAATCCTTCTTCTCGTCGCAGACGGCTCCAATGCCCACCCTCTAGGTACCTAACTCGGCTTGCCATTGCAATGTTCTGTGTGATCTGTTGGAAAGCAAGCATCTTCACTTGACGATAACCTGTCAGAGGTATGCCGAGCTCTGCAGCAAACAGCTCTCATCGTCGGCCCGACGCCAGAACCCCAAAAGAGTCGACATCGAGACAAGCGCTATCGACAACATCAAGCCCAGATGCCACTCTACCCCAGCAGACACTCCACAACGCCGCTCGATCAGACTGACTCTGATGAGAGACAGATACCTCACGAGAGACACACCCACCCATCGGGCCGGTGAGCGTGGTAACCCGGCCATTGGGCCTCGTACGAAACAGAGCAAACCCACGTCCGAATTCAGGCATCACGAGTCCCCTCCGCCAGCCCTCAAACCCAATTCTGGCCTCCAGCTCGTCCCAATGAGGCTACAAACCCCCCAGTATCCAGCTGACAGAATCACCAAGGGTCCCAGCCACAGCCCGCATCCATCCTCCCCCCAATCCATCACCAACCAACCCATCCACAATTCGTGTCGAAAACGTGTCTTGTGCAACCACGAAGCCGTTGCGCCTGACCGTTGCCCAGACCACGCCCTCGTCGCAATCTCGACCCTGCCAACGTGGCCCCGCGGCTCCGAAAACATCACGGCCCAGAACACCACGTCCGCAAGCGGCTCGCCCGTCTCACGCGTCGGTCCAGAACGCTCTCCACCAAAACGGTCACGACTATTCCACAACCACCAAATATGTCTCTTCTGAAATCGTACAAATCGAACGATTTTTTCTTCTTGTCCAATCTGTGGTCTTGCCCAGGCGTCTGTCAGCACCGTCTTCGTCAGTCTGTACCTCGTAACCAGTCATCTTGCACGCTATTGTCTTGCTCCAAATGACAAAATCTGTCAAGAGTCAACACCATTCAAGTTTTCTCCCTATTTCGTCTCTCTCCTCCGTAAGTACGGACTGAGCTTACATCAAGGTAGCCCCTGGCCGGAGCATACCCCGGCCGCCTCGGACGGGAGCTGTCTCCCGGACCAAGGTCATTTCGGTTAGCAGAACCCAGAGGCCCAAGCCGTGGCACTAACACCCTGTACCCAAGACCAACCAGCGGGTTAGCATCAGGTGAACAGCCATTGGTCCATGGGCTCGCTTGTTTCCCCCCGCATCTTGTTCTCCACGATCAGGATCAGGATCAAGAAGCCCGCATTCTTGTCCAAGCTTCATCTCGCGTGACCTCTACCACATCTCTCGCAACCACGGGGCGAACAGCGGTGCAGTCCCTACCGAGTCCCGCCGGGGAGTCGAAGGACGACAGGGAAAGCACCAGCGAATCGTGTCCAATTTGTTGGTCAGTACGGGGCGCCACGGTATCACGTCACACATTGTCTTGAGCCACGAGTATTTTGCCGGAATGCCCGGATGCAGCCTTTCTATGCTTCTTCTACTACTAGATCTCTCTGTCTCTAGGGTCTATCCATTTGGACCGGTATAACCATGCTAACGCCTTGCGAAGTTCAAAATCATCGCTTCTGCACCGTTTTTGCCTGACCAAGTCTGTCGACGACGTCCCGGTCTCAACATTACCACGGCGACTGGGAAGATCGCGCATTAACGAGACGTGACTGTCGGGCCCGGGGCCCGGCGGGGTAACGATCAGGATCGCTCCCGCCCGAAAAGAACTATGAGAAGAGGGGGCCACCCGGGACCGGCTCTTGGAATGACACGATCATCATCTTTTACCTATCCAGCGCCTGCATTCAAGAAACCTCGCCCTTGATGGGGGGAGTGCCGAGGCCGTTGTGGTTGCGGAAGAACAGAACGCCCTTGCCCTCGCCCTGAGCCTCAGCGCTGGGCTCGACCCACTGGCACATGCGAGCGGACTTGTACAGAGCCTTGATGAAACCGACCGGGCCGTCCTTGACGTCGGAGCGGTAGTGCTTGCCCATGACGGGCTTGATGGCCTCGGAAGCCTCATCGGCGTTGTAGAAGGGGATGGTGCTGATGTAGTGGTGGAGGACGTGGGTCTCGATAATGCCGTGGAGAAGGTGGCGGCCGATGAATCCCATCTCGCGGTCAATGGTGGCAGCAGCTCCACGAACAAAGTTCCACTGCTCGCCGGTGTAGTGAGGGAGGGTGGGGTCGGTGTGCTGGAGGAAGGTGATGGCAACTACGAAGTGCATTGTCAGCAATGGGTACAGGAGCATCGAAGTCGATGTCAAAACTTACCGAGCCAGTGGTTGACCCAAAGGTAGGGGATGAAGTACCAGACCAAGAGGTTGGACCATCCGAACTTGTTGCCGAGGAAGACGAGGGCGCTGATGGTAATGGCAAGGCCAATGTCGGACATGATAATGAGCTTGGCATCCTTGGCCTCGAAGATGGGGCTGGCGGGGTCGAAGTGGTTAACGCCGCCGCCGTAGCCGTTGTGCTTGCCCTTGCCGCGGCCCTCACGCTGACGCTCGTGGTAGTTGTGGCCAGTGACGTTGGTCATGAGGTAGTTGGGCCAGCCGACGAGCTGTTGGGCGACAAGCATGAGGAAGGTGAAGATGGGGGTCTCCTCAGTCAGCTCAGCAAGCTCGTGAGCCATACGACCGGCGCGAGAAGCGTGCTGCTCGCGAGTGCGGGGAACGAAGACCATGTCGCGCTCCATGTGGCCAGTGGCCTTGTGGTGCTTGCTGTGGGAAATCTGCCAGCTGAAGTAGGGGACCAAAAGAGCCGAGTGGAGGACCCAGCCGACGGAGTGGTTCAGCGTCTTGGAGGGAGAGAAGGCCTGGTGACCGCACTCGTGGGCGATAACCCAAAGGCCAGTGCCGAAGAGACCCTGGAGAACGGTGTACAAGCCCCAGAGACCGGCGCGAGCGGCCTTGGAGGGAATGTACTCGGGGGTCACGTAGTTGTGGAAGATGTAGAAGGTGGTGGCGAGGCAAAGGATGTCTCTGCCGATGTAGGCAAAGCCCTTGAGGGCAGAGCGCTCGAAGCAGTGCTTCGGGATGGCATTGTGGATGTCCTTGATGGTGAAATCGGGAGGGGTAAACTCGTTGCCGTAGGTGTCGTACAGCTTGGAGTAGTTGGCCTTCTTGACGGGCTCCTCGGACGCCAGGGAAGAGAGGGAGGTCGAGGAGGCCGAGGGGCGAGGAGAGTCGGCAGGAGAGCCCACGGCAGTCGAAGGGACCGAGGCGTCGGTCTCGGTGGTGGTGGAAGTGACGGTGCGGCGAAGGACGGGGTTCTTGGCCGCCGGCGTCGAGGTGGTGGTAGCCATGGCTGATTGTTGGGGGTGGTGTGTTGCTGAAGGGGACGCAGCAACAACTGGTTGGTATGGGGCCTTGGTGTTGATGGCCGGTTGAGAGGAACGGGGGAGCAGAGTTCCAATGGCCCTTGAAGGTAAAAGGGATACCAATTGAGAATCGAAAGAAGGGGAGCGAAGGCGGGATGGGAGTGAAGGGGAGGGGACTAATAAATGAAGCACACACTGCCCGTGGAGAAAAAGGGACGGGGGGGAAAAAGATGTGTCGGTATCGGGTTACAGCGGAGGCGAAAAAGACAAAATAGTTAGCAAACGATGGCTCGGGACGGGACCCGTTGTCAAGTGCTTGGTGTGCGTCTGGCTGTCTGTGTGTCTTGTCTCTCGTTCTTCTCCTGCTGGTGCAAGTGCCAAGACCAACAAGGGCCGGTCAGGTACCGCAACGGGTATTGCGTGGAGCGGGAAGGTAGGTAAGGTACTTGGGTGTTTGGCTTCTCCTTCCCTGACAGAGAGGTATCTGTAATCTGCCCGTAGTGACCTGAGATAGGCAACCTAAGCTATGCTATGCTAGGTACCTTATGCTGTGCTGTACCTACCTTACCTTACTGTGCTGTGTGCTTGCTGTACGGATAGGTGTTGTAATAAGGTATCCAACGTTGCGTGTGCTGGCTGGGTGGCTGCCACCTGCGTACGGATACAGAATCACAGCTGCTGGAGTTGTCCCTCGGTTCCCACGCCTCCGTTTTTGTTGGGGACGAACTGGAGAGGCCGCTGATGGTCGTCGCGGGGGTTTGCAGGGCAGCAGGGCACGGTGCAAGGGGATTTGGAGGGCCCAGAGAGGAGGAGGGACAGATGCAAATGCAATCGCGTGGCAGGGGGGTGCCCGATGTGACTGCAGCTGGATTTTTTTGATGGGCCTCGCCGTTTGTCGAGTTAGCAATGTTATCCACCGGTGGGAGGCAAGAATCCAGAGGTACAACGCCGGATGGCAAAGACCAGGCGTGAGGCGATGTATCTTCTGATCCGCGTCCGTTACTAAGACGATGCCGTACTCCTTGGAGGCCGGACGGAAGGGACGCGCTTGGGGGCACTGGAACTGGAGCTGGGAGCTGGAATCGGAGCTGAGCTGGTTCAGGTCAGGCCACGGGCTTTGATGTTAATTTCCAAATGCCATTTGCAAAGCCGTAGGCATTGGGAAAGCCCCCGTCCTTTTTATTGCAGGGCCCGTCTTTGCAACTTCTAAAGATATGGGCAACGTGTCCAGGTATCCATCCATAACTACCTTACCTTAAAGCGCAAACATCCTCGGCCCATGCGGTGCGGTGGTTTCGTACTGCCCTGGGGCAAGGTAACCGTCAACCAAGGTAACCGCTGTTCAAGGAGCTGGTGTTAGTCTGAAGATTCACAAGCCAAATCTCGTCGTACTTGTGCCCGCGGGGTAGAGGCTTGCGAGCTACCTACCCAGCAGACGCCGGACTGGGCCAGGATCCAAGTCAGAGGTGCTGTTGGCGCCTGCAAGAAAGAAGGAGAAAAACACTGTGAAGGCACCGAAGGATAAGGTAGGCAAAAAGAGAGATCGGCTCAAAAATATTTTTGGGACGAAGTCGGCGGTCTGAAGGGTCTTGGTTGGATACGTACCTGCTTCTAGCGTCGCATCTACGAAGTACGAAGTACCTTTTGGGGAAAACTGAGATGCGTCGCGTCAAGGCAGGAAGGAAGGAAGCAGGTGCTGCTCAGTTCGTCCCTGCCACTGCTACTGCCACTGCCTCTGCCAGATGTGCTCGGCCGCCCCTGCTTGTTCTTCCGCCATTCCAGACTCCTTCTGCATTGCTGCACAGACACGGCCATGGCGACTTCGATTCATCGCAGGGCACACCGAGACGTCTGAGAAAGGGATCTTCTTATCAGCCAGGTCTCGATCATCGCTAACGAGCTCCGCTGTGGCCACCGCTAAGTTCTCACATCAGGGTCAAGTTCCAGCACACCGACCCCCGGCCTTGGGAGGCAAATTAGCAGGTGGCCATTGAAACCACTGCAACTCGAGACAGGCACAGGACACGCAGGACACGCGGTGGTGCAGGGAACCCAGCCTGCTGCTTGCCTTGCGGCTTGCCAGCCAGCCAGCCTGCAAGCCTCCAAGCCAGGCAGATTGGTGGTGGTGAGGGGTCGCTCCGGCGGGAAGGAACATGGCAACCAGCCCAGGGAGCCTCCCCTCGCTAAACACAAAAGGTACCTTCCCTACCACCCCACAATTGGCACCGGTACTTGTATTTGTACTTTGATGTTCGAACGGAAGGAAGTACATCCACCTGCACCTGCACCTACACCTGCATCTTGCCTGCCTTCCTGCGAAGCGGCCCTCGGCTGTGACTTCCCTGGAAAAACGCAGCTCCAGATCCTCAGAAAAACACACTGACAACGTAAAATGCTTTTGCTTCGACCGCCAATGTCGCCCTAATGCATAGGTACTCTCACCTTTCGCCTGATCCACAGGAGCCATGGTTCAACTTCACCGCCTTTCAGACACTCTGCCTGAGCCTCCACCTTGCCTCCCGGACCCAACAGTACTGCCAGCGGTGGCATGACTTGATTCGCCCGTCTGTCGAGACATTCCCTTCGTGGGCATATTCGTCGATACTTTCAATGTCTGAACACTTGATGGTCTGGGCGACGACAACAACGACCATCTCGCCTCCATTCCCAAGCTTTGTCGATCCGAGCTCGTCAATGGCAGGCACCGACTCTCGAGAGACATCGGCAACCCGGGCCTGCTGCACCCATTCCAGAGGACTTGCATCTTGGCGGTGTCTTCAAGACATTACCAGCCCAAGCATGACCTGTTGCTGCCGTGCCGTCCCCGCTGCACGAGATATCGCCGCTCCCGTACAGTTGTGCTATCTGCCGTGTCAGGACAGCGCTTGCTGACGTCGTGTCTCTGGGCAGGCAGGGCAATCTGCTCAAGTCAATTGGCTCTGTTTCTAGCAGTGCAACAGCCACGACAGTGGACGGGTCATCCGTCACCCAAGTGTCCAACCCGCGTCGCATCAACCACCGCCGCACCACGCGCAGCTCGTCCTCGCTGTCAGTGTCTGTGCATGTGAAGATGGCGCTTGCTTGCTTGAGGCGAGATCCAGATCTCCAGGCGCCGCCGTCGCTGCTGTAGCGTTGTCGAAACCGAGTCAGATCGGCGCGACGCTTGTCAGTCGGTACTAGCTCACGCCGTACTCGATGGTGTTCATTTCCAGGGCCTGGCTTGTTCGCACTCACTGCCATTAGTCGTCCCACCGATTCTCTCCAAACAACCTGACGTCAGGAGATTTCAGAGCAATGTGGCCTGCCTCTGGGGTGAGGCTCGATATGTATATGGCGGAGAAGGCCCTCTGCGCCGCATCGGACATGGGCAAAAGCGTTGGATTCCATCGCGTTGGCAGCTTTCAGGATCATTGGGGTAAAGATCGATACTGCCTCCAAGTCGCGGTACGCAGTACAGGATGACGAGTACGTACCTGGGTTCCCCACGCTCCGAGTCGAAGAGGGGGAGAGGAGCACACAGGGGTTGGAGGGGAAAAGACAAGGCGGGTACGTATCTCGCTGCACGCAACGCCAGTGGCTCACGCTCTGTCTCAACCCCACGAACCAGCGGAATCAGGACAGACACGACAGACTCGAGCGCTTCAATTGGACAGAGAGCCCACCTGTATTCCCAGAAACACAGCAGCCAATCGGGAGAGGAACATACGGCTGACACGATGGACCAATCAGGGGTGCCCCGCTGGGGAAAGGTGAATCTTGAATTGACGCCCGCTCTTCGCCAACATTCAACGACAGACAAGTTGTCAGATGCCAAAGTGTGCACTGAACTGCATTCTCGACGAATTTTCACACCCAAATTGGAAAAAAAAGCAGAAGGCGAAGTTAGGCAAGAGAAGGAGAAGGGGCGAATGCATTCCACTCGGGCGAAACCGCGAGACACTGGATGAAACGGCCTTCGGGTCGAGTCGATTTGAAGGCACCTAGAAGAACAAGACCGAAAGACAGCAGAGACCTTGAAACACTGTGGGACGCTGTCTTCTGGAAGCTTGTGGCATTCCTAGGGTCCAGTTTTGCCTACCTCGCTTCTACAGCGTGGTGATCGTTCAGTCTCCTTATTTTCGACCCTTTCCTGCCTCTCGAAATTTTCTGTTGGGGGTTCGAATTTTGTTGAGATGGTTGCTGGCCAGGGCCGGCCTTGTCACCACCAGGGCCTCGCAGATACGTACCTCTCCCTCCCCCACTCCGAACATCTGAAGGACGAGTACCTGGTCTGTGCCAACCGGATCCCACTTGCGCTGCCCACCAAGGATATGTTCTTCGGGAAGCTCAGGACAGGCCATTCGTCTTCTCATCACGATTGCTTTTTTTTTTCCACATCAAAACCCATCAAAGCTCCATAGATACGACTTTTGAACAATGCAGTCAGTTCATCGTGGGGTTCTTCGGCATTGGTACTGCTGACCCAGAAGCTGAGACCACCACATCGTCGGCCAATCCCAACGCACTCAATTCCACGAACAGGGGAAGAGGAGGCCAGCGAAGAACACAGGCCAGCTTTACGAAGGTCTTGCACTTGGCCCCCCAGCTTGCAACTTTCACATGGGAATTCGTCGACCTTGACTCCGTTGTCCCAGCCTGGGCAAACATCCGTAATGTGAGCGGCACGAGAGGCGCCTAGAGCGACTACGCCTGTAGGATTTTGGGATCCCCGATGCCACGACCGATGAGGGCAGCAAACCTGAAATCGCTGCTGCCCTCCTCTTCAATGACAATCACGCACATCTAGCCCACTTGGACCAATGTGGTTCGCTGATACTTCCTGCTGTTTCCGAGGCCGGGCCCCTCTCACCCACGAGAGGCTCACTTACATGTGATTTAGGGCCTTTGCTGGAGGGCAATGTTTAGTGACAGACACACGGAACACACTACCAAACCGCCTCGCCTCACGGTTACAACACTACCGGTCGTCCCCTGCTAGCACTTGGCTTCATGTTCTTCTCCACGAAATCAGGGAAGGGGAACATTGGCATGCCGCTGATACGTCCCCGTCTCGGCAAGTCGCCTATGGTTGACGCATCAGACAGTCGATCGTTGATCGCTCGCTCTGGCAGGTTTTACCAGCTTGTGACCTGCGCCGCTCTGCACGGTTGGAGGCAGAACTTGCGAGACTGCATGGTAAGCACATGCTGAGGCTTCGCACAGTAAGACGTTGCTGAGGGGCGCCTCGACAAGACACCAGCTACCATCAGCCAGCCATGCTTGAGGTTCCTGCGGCTAGACCAGCTTAAAGCTTTCAGCCGACGACACCTGGCTGCTGTCACTGAGGCTGGAAAGTTTATCTCACTCCATCCAGATGGTCAGATCAGCCTCGGACAGAATCAGTCGTCGTGCCTGTGACTACCAGCATTGGGCCTCATTGACCCTACTCGTTAGCCGTCTTTTGTTCGCCACGATCAGGGCCTTGCAGGAAGCAGCTCGGTTCTCACACCGAACGAATACCGAGCAAACAAACGCCGCTATGGTTTTTTGGCATTAGTTGGTTTTCGTCTAATGTGTGCGCCTTCAGGCGCGCCCCTATTAATTGACCGCCTGGCGTGCTGCACTCCAGCGGCAGCCACAAGACGGGACGACGTAGTGTTGACCGCCTCGCATGCATGAAATGGCTGACCATCTCGCGTCCTTCCATTCATCGATTGTGCGTCTCGAAGGTTTAATAGACGCCGTAGCTCTCATGAGTAGGCAGATGAGACTCGGTGTCTCACCGGTGATTGGCCTCGGTGTATGTGTCGTTCTCAACACAGAACGGAGACATTCTCATACTGTTGACTATGTTCATTCGCCAACGGCATCTAACACAATCTTGCTCAACCTATGTGGAGAATGAAACGGTTTTGCTGGGCTAAAAGGCCCCATTCCCAACTCGATACCTTCTTCAATGTCCGTTAACCATGCCTTGCTGTGTCGTGGGACCACGTTCCTCGCCTCGTTCTCTTGCACAAGTCGATGAGAAATGAAAGACTGTCTTCTTTCTGCATTTGGAAGTGACCCGCAATTATAGAGGTTACAAACCATTGAGATGGACTTATCGTCCACCGAGATGATGTGACTTGACACCGTGATCCCAAGGTTACGCTGACAGCATCAGCAACAACATCCATGTCTTACAGTCAATGATTTGATGATATAGCTGTAGGCATCATCAGATTGCAGCCCTGGGGGTCAGCCAGACCCTGCGGTTTCCCCTGTCTGTGATCACTTTCGTGTTTCTTATGTTTTTCACTCGCCCTATAAGCGCACAGTCGAAGTCCGTAGAGATTTCCCTGCTTTGGTATTGAAGATGCCCAGACTGATCGCCAACATTTACTTCCTGCCGAGGCGTGATAATAACTTCAAGAAAATAACAACCCTCCTATGGACCGGGGCTGGTCACCTTGACGAGAGCTTTCTCAACGCAAGTACCATACACGACGAAGAGTTCTGGGCCTCACCATTGCCGTAGGAAGATATCAGATTTCATCCAATGGGCCGGAGCAGCTCACAGGAAACTCACCCAAAAAAAAAAAAAATCAGGAATCCTTCCTCTTTCCCCCGCTACAAGTACTTGATGGCTCGAAGCTGTTGCCTACATTGTCATTCCGTGGCCGCCGGAGCAGACGACCGCGGGCACTGCGAGAAGAGAGACATCATGTCTCAGCAACCCCGCCCCTTCAGGCAGCCCCGAGGCAAGGGAAGACTGATTTCGGTTGGTGATCCGAGTCATCCAAAACCGGTGCGATGATCTCCGCCCTGTACTGAAGAAGTTGCATATCGCCATGTTTGCCTTCCTCAACTGCATGAAAGTTTCAGTGTCGTGATCAGCCGAACGGTGAGGCCGTGGCGAAGTGCGATAAGAGAAGTAGGCAAACCGATGGTCTAGGGGTGGCCATCACGATACATACCAGTGAATGTGGCAAACGTTGTATGAGAGGATTGTCATATCGTCGAGGGTGCCTCGTGTATAGGAATAGCCAAGATGCTGAACTTATCATGTCATATTATCTAAAGTGCCTACACAAATCGTATCCCATCGTCAATGGGGTTCTTTTCATGAACCGTCCTTCCCATCCATAACCCAACGCCATGTCCAATGCTATCCAAAACCATGAAAATGCTACCGCACAAACGGAGAAGGGGTATCAAATCACGCAAACCCAAGCTCCTCCCTCCCGTCGTCAACCAAGCGTCCCCATTCCAGCAGCAACCGAAACATGTAAATCCTCATATCCTCCTTGCGCAACGCCTGCGCAGCCCAGACCCTGCCCTCCTCCGCAATCTGCGCCGCCCGGATCTTGCCCTCGTAGTCGACACCGAAAAACCACAGCAGTCCCTTCAGCTCGTGGAGCCGCACGTCCACGGGGACGTAGTGCCGCCACGCGTGCACCCGCTCCGCGAGCCAGGTGCGGAAGACGCCGCTCCGGTAGACGAGGCTCTTGCTCCGCAGAAAAGGTATGAATCGCCCGCTAAATCCCGCACCGTCGAGGTCCATGAGGTGGGCGTACTTCCAGTGCTCCTGGAACTTGACCTTGTTCTTCGTCGGCTCGTCGTGGCCGTCCCAGAAGGTGTCCCTCTCGGCGTCGCAGTCGCCTTCGTGGCATTTCCTCCAGTCCCCAACAAAGCCGACGTCGAAACGTGGCCCGGCGTCTGATCTCACGACCTCTCCCTCGACGGCGGTAGCGGACGAAATCGTCAATGTGTTCTCCCACATGTTTGCAGCCGCGACGAACCTCGCTCGTAGGAAGCTCTGCCACGAACCCCTGGCAGCGTAGCCGTCCGTGGCACTACCCCTCCAAAACATGACATTCTCCTTGCTCTCAAACTCCGTGTCCGACTCCTCGTCGTATCCCGCCTTATCGTCAAAGTTCCACGGCGAGGGTATCAGGATGTCCGCGAACCCGGACGTCTTGCTCTGGCTGAACACCGGAAACGGCGCCTTCGTAAATATCGCCGCGGCGGGGGACAGCAGGAATCCGTGGAGATAGGCCAAGTCAGGCTGATGGCAGAGGTCGGTGGCCGCGGTCCAGTTGGACACCACAGGGTAGTTCTCCAGCCCATTTTCGTAGACGCGGACGGCGTGCGGGAGGAGGCAGTCGCGGCAGGATTCGCGGCGGGACCACCAGCGGGTGTTGCGTGCGGGCGAGTCTGGGGGACAGGCCGGGGCGACGAAGTCGTAGTAGATCTCGTCGCGGATGTGGTCTGCAAAGTAAGGTGACTTGACCTTGGGGCCGAGAACGGTGTCGTTGTTGGGCCAGAGTTGTTTCGAGGCGTCGAATGGCTTCAGTGCTGGGTTGCTGAGCAATCTGGCTCTCGAGTCAAGGCCGTCGTTTTGTAGGGCCATAGTGTCTTCGAACGGGATGGCGACGCGGCATTCGTCGTTGAGGTTGATTGCAAAGTCCATGTCGGGGAGATGTTGCGCAAACGGCTCAACCATTTCCTGCATCGACTCCATCATCCACATGTGTGATCCAGGGGTGCCGGGAGAGATGTCTATCCTGCCTCCACGGATGCGAAGACCTCCCATGCCGAGCCATGGCAGCGCGAGAGCGTGGCTCGTCCTCTGTCTGAGAACCTCTGGCTGTACGCCCCAGAACGGCAACAGGTCGTCGTTAATTTGAGTAAAGTCGTCGATGATCGGGGAGCCGTTTTCCATGGCGTACTCGAACCATTTGTCAAAGTTTGGCGGGGGCGGCATGCCGTAGCGGACACGGTAGTTTCGGACTGCTTCATCCAACGTTCTGCTCTGATTTGCCTGCAACATCCAAGTATCCGACTTGGCGTGTTCAACAGACAACAGATCCGGGAGAGAAAGGGTGTCGATGGAGGCGAAGTCGGGGTAGAAGACGAGATATGTGCCGCACAAAACCCCAACAAGAACAACGTACCAACCTGTCAAAAACCTCACCAGGCGGTGGTCGGCGCCAGTCCCTGACATGCCCGAGATATCCTTGTCGTAGCGAAGCAGAAGCCCGACTCCTGCAATGGTGACGCCGCCGGAAACCATGTAAAGAAGGGAGTCGTCCACTGGCGCAGACGTCTGAAGCATGCGGAAGATCTGATGCGCGTAGACGCCAGAAGCCGTTGTAACCATGGCCAATGTACTTGGGTGAAGATCCTTCATAACGTAGAACCCCGAGAGGATCGCGACGGAGGCCACAGTGCTATCGACCACCAAATCTCTAACGGCAACGTAGTGTAGTACGAACGCCCATCTGATGTTGCGCAGGTTATAAAATGAGAAGCAAGCGAGGATGGCTAACACGCCCGCTGACCCCAGGAACAAACGCGAGGCAAATGCCCATGCCTGCGGCGCATCCTCTGCCGTCTCTTGTCGCCATCTCGAGAGGCGGACCAGCAGGAAGGCGTTGAGCGCAACGGTTACGATTTGAGCCAGTGGTATCTGTCGTTCCCAGCGGAGGGGACCCGGCGGGCAGATTGCGCCAGCGGACTGTGTTGACAGAGCGAGCGTAGACCTCGCGGCGCAGGCCCAGACGACGGCGATGAACAGGTAGCGAATGTGAGGCGCGCTGAAGCAGCGTCGGGAGCGGGTCTGGTCGCCGAGTGGCTGTTGAAGGCTGATGGCAGTGGGCGATGCGACCAAATACAGAGTGATAAAGACCGGGAGAAAGGTCTGGGTGACGTAGTTGTTAGTGCTGTGGACTCGGTGCGCATTAAGAGCTGACGATCATCAGTTTCATACCTCGAAGCTTTCCCAGGAACAGTGGATCGTGCGAATCGTACGCCAGAACAGAAGAGTGCGCAGGACGATGGCAGTTCCGAGTGGTATCGACGGCGACGAAAGGAGATGTCGATTCCGTACAAAATCTATGCTGGCCTGGATGCGTCGTTTCCAGTGAGGACTTGACGAGGAAAAGGTCGCGAGTTGGTAGCCTTGATTGTGGGGGCCTTGGTCTGGAGACGACCACTTTGCCCATGCTGCGATAGCAAGACCGGATTCGAGGAGGGTCAGGATTGAGAAATGGATCGGTCTCTCTGTTCAGAGACAAGAATATGTTAACAGCAGTTACAAGACACGGTGTTGTACAGGGGGGTTAACTTACCAAAGGCGGCACTGCTATTATATCGTGATGTTATCCAGGCGGTGCAAGCAAATAACACAATGCTACAGCTCTGTCAGTACGGCGGATCATGTCAGATTTTGACTTGGCGCTACAAGCCTGGACTGAGAGAAGGGGCAATTGGAAGTAAGAAAAAAGTCTCGAATAAGACTGAGGTGCCCAAATAGCGACTTGAGCGCCCGACACGAACTGAGACCTAGGAATTGAAGGTGTCACTCACCTAGCCGCCAAGCTGCCGTGTCTCTTCAGCGGGGCCGCCATCGGCCACCAAAGGTCGCCTTACCC